TAAGGGGTAAGCTACACTAACCCAGTAAGGACATCACACTATATCGCCGGTACAGAAGCAGAAGTTGGTAGAAAACTAAAAATAACCAATGGAGCACTAAATTTAAACCAATACATTCATTAAAAGTAAAACCATTTACCCTTTTACTTACCATTGGGGAATCTGTAAAAATAACCTATAAAGACAATAACTTCATACAGATCATAACTTCATGCACAATCAGTAACATAGAACATATCATAAATTTATATTCATTGACAATAATTAATCATCACTATTTTTTGTTTCACCAGTCTACTAGTATTCATGGGGATCCATAGGGATGTCCCTGCTACACATAAACTATTTTTCTTAACAATCTTAATTTTATGGCCGTCTCCATACCCCGTCCGATATAAGGGTGAAGTGGGCCGTCCCCATATCCCGTCCGGTATGAGCGCCAAATGACCAAGTCTCCATACTCCGTCCGGTATGAGACAACGTTCACGGTATAGTTCCCTATGAACCCGGTCCGTCCACCATCTCGCAGGATATCTAGTGAGGTTGTCACTTTATCTGTTTATTAGATCACATCTCTTTTCTGTTTATCCTTAATCTCCGTTACCAAATTAAACACAATCACATAAACAATGAACATGCACCTGGTAATACAATCATATCTTAAATCTCAAAATTACAAAGTGATCAAGTAATATAGTAATACATACATTTAAAACTCTAAAACCAGATACCATCATGCCTTTAAACTGTAAAATAAATCAATAGGAATCAACAGAGAACAATGTCCGATTTCGGACTCCATTAGTAATCTGTAATTAATTATGCATATTTATCTAACTTGTACAAAAGACCATATTATTATTTATTCAAACTTCACATCTATGATAGAAATTAGAGTGAGGAGTCCTTACTTGATATAAAGTCGAAAACTAAATGGTTACTGCGCCTATAGGGGGTCCCTGAGTTCCCTGAATTTTTCTTTGGGAACTGGAACACGCTTACGGTACCTAAAAATGTCCCAAATAAATCCAAAAATCAGTCCCAAGGCCTACTTGGTCAATTTTAAAAATTCGGCACAGCAGCTTCGCCGTGCTCTAGTGATGGTGCCGCCGCCCGCGGCGGCAACCAGCCTCAGGTTGGCTGTTTTCGGCCGAATTCAGCCAAACTTGCATCGGTTCTTGCAAGAAAACACACTTAGGGCCCTCGGTTGGCCAAAAAAATGTAGAAAATCGAAACTCACCGGCGGTGGGCTCTTCGGTGCAGTGGCTCCTCCGACTCATGTTGCGGTTGGGTGTTTTGCTTCGGTCAACCTGTAGAGAAGGAAACGGTGATCACAACGGTGAAAAAATCACATCGAATGGGAATCGGGAAGGGCCTTATTGGAGGCATTTTCTGAAACACCCCGCGGCGGCGCCGCTGAGTTTCAGCAGCATTTTTCAGTCAATTGGCCATTTTTTTCACTCCGATTTGGCCATGGGTGGGTTTAAAATTTATTTCGTGCAAGAGAAAATTTTTTTACCTTGTTTGGAGGTCAGAAATTGCTCCGGTGCGGCGGCGAGTGGCGGCGCTCGGCTCCCCGGCAGCTAGGTTGTCTTCTCTCGCGAGGGGCTCTTGCGGCTAGGGTTAGGGTTTGGGGGCGGATGGGGTTATTTATACCCATCCGCTTTTCATCTGGGTCGTCTATCGCTTTTAATCTGAACCATCCAATCGCGATTAAATAGAGAGTGAATTTAGACCGTTCATCGCGATTCAATCTGGGTCGTCCGTGTGCGATGCAATCTACGCCATCCGTGCGCGATGCAATCTGGACCGTTCGTGCGCATTTTCAATTTGGGTCGTCCGTGTGCACGAGAACGGATCTCAACCATTCGATCGAGTGCACGCGGATCGCCCACGTAGCTCCCCCCACGTGGCGTCGTACGTCAGCGCCTCTACCACCTGGTGTGTCCTGGTTGGTCGGGGCTGCTGACCGGGTATCTGACGTGACGTAACTTTTCTGATTATGTTTTGACCCCCCCGGTTTTCGATTTTTCTTTCAAAAATACCTCCAGAACCCAAATTTTCACCACTTTTTTCCAAAATGATTTTCAATTAAATCCTTAACCAATTTTTCACCCTTTTTATTTTTATTATTATTATTATTATTTTCATTAAATCAAATTAAAATAAAATAAATTCAATTCAATTCAATTAATAAACAATTATATTTATAAAAAATTAAAATTAAAATAAAAAATAAATGTTGGGTGTTACACCTAGTGCTGACCGCCTTGCATCAACAACAGGCGAACAAGGTTTAGATGCAATGCCGGTGGAAGGAGCTTCAAAAATAGGGACGGTGGAACCCAATTATGGTGCGACCCAATCTACGTTCCAGAGTGCGACCCGGCCAAGTGCAATTCAGGTGGTGGTTGTGAAAGACGAGTCGACGATAGAGGCAATGTAGGTTGAAGGTAAGCCCAAAACAGAGGCAGCTTTCCCCTGTTCTGGTACGACCCAACCGGAGCCCCAAACTTTGCTCCGGTCTAGTGTGGAAAAATTAAATTTTGAAGATGAAACTATAGTGGATGTTGTGATTGGGGATAGGTCCTATGGAATGGGCAGAGAGGCGGTGAACCTTAGGCAAATTACAGGCGAGAAACCACAAACTACACACCTTGGGAAGTCTCCTCCGCTGCAGGGAGCACCAAATGTGAAAGCCTCCTTTAGAGATAAATTCATCATTAGTCATCAGGTTGCTAACAGTCGAGATGAAATTCAGATCAGGGACGAGGATGTTAAATTTGACATGGAGAATGGAATACCGAAAATAATTTTTCAGATAAGGTGCACAACCTCCTAACGCAAAATATGAAACTTACAGTAGTTATTCGACTGTTTGGAAAACCGACTGGGTATAAAATACTCTGGGCAAAACTTCATAGCTGTGGAAGTCTAATGATTGATTACACCTAATTGACCTCGATAATGATTACTACATGGTTAAGTTTTACTCAGCAGAGGACTACTTGCACATTTTTACGGATGGCCTATGGGTTATATATGGTCATTACCTCACGGTGCAATTCTGGTCCCCCAGTTTCTCTACTGCAAATCCAGATGTCACTAATGTGGTGGCTTGAGTGCGATTTCCTAGTCTCCCTATCCACTATTACTATAAGAGTGTGCTCAGAGCTATCTCCAGGGTGATAGAGAAAGTGTTTCACGTTGACTACAACACAGAATCCACCAAATGGGGCAAGTTTGTTCGGTTGATGATTAGAATTGATATGACCAAACCATTCATTTCTAAGTTCATACTGGATGGGCGCCTACAAAGAGTGGAATATGAGGGATTGACGGTTTCAATTGCGGAGTATATAGACACCTTAAAGACCAATGCAAGAAAAATGTTGAGACGAAGATTGAGTCAGTTAAGAGTGGAAGCACAGGTCTCGGTGAACATGATAATGTGGTAGTACTAAATGAAAATTATGGTCCCTAGATATAAGTCCAACACAAAGGGAGGAAAGTTGAAAAAGAAGGGCTCTATCTTGTCAGACAAGGGCTCAGATATTTCAAGAGAGAATAATAAAAATATATCCAGATTTAGTATGATTACAAACATGGAGGGAGCTTTAGAAGGATCAGATTGGCTGGTGGTGAAAACCCCTAAATAGGTGAGGGTCTCAAATGAGAGACAACCCCCAAGGGACAAAGGAAAAATGCCGGTGGTGGAAGATAGTGATCAGAAGAGGATGGATGTCTTCCCTAAAATCATGGATTCTACCATGTTGGCCAATACTAAGCCCACCATTGAACATGTGATGCCTATGACTATATGTCGGAGAAACTAAGAAAGGCATCAGCCCCCGTGGCGCAGGAGTGACTTATAATGAGAATATTATAATAAGCTAGAGTACTACTATGTTGGAGCCTTCAAAGAATACAGTTATAATAATTAAAGATAGGGTGGACCAAGACCACGAACTCAATCGGGCCTCTTCCCCTAGCTTCATATCACCAACGATCTTCTTAAGAGATCGCTTCAGGACGGAAGTCAAACCACCGGATAGACTTGGTATCAGCAAAGATATAAAAATCGATAAGGCTTTTAAAAAACAAGTCAAGGTCAAAAAAGGGAACGATGCACCTACATCCACTGCTCCCGTTACGATCAACCCCCTTATGTCCAAAATCCAAGAGTTTGTCAACAAGGATGTAAGAGTTATTTCAAGCGCTGTGGATGCCCTTTAAAATGAGCAAGTATGGTCTTTCTTTTTTAGGATTAGCTCATTTTTTCCTTT